GAGAGACGGGCAGAAAAATCATGTGTTGATCTTTGTTCCTAGGTCACTCGGTGGCTAATCTCTCTCAGGCTGAGGAGGCTGTGCAGCATGGCGCTACCTTCATCACTCACCTCTTCAATGCCATGCTGCCGGTGAGTAGCCGAGGGCGCTTGCCCTGCACTGGTATAGCTTTTGGTGCTTGCCCTCCTGCTCCCCACAGATGCATATTCTCCCCAGGTTGTTTCCTAACAGGCCTTGCAATGAGGTTTCAGCACTGAACCTCTGGCTTCACATTTCTACTGCCTGATCTAAAAGAGAGTCAAAGCTGTATCAGACTCTTGAAATTCAAGGAAATGCCCATATTTGTCTGGTAAAAGATGGAGAACCCAGCTGCCAGGCGCTGTTTGACAGAGATGGGAGCTGCGTCCCCTGATGGGAAGGGTCTCGGCCCACAAGTCCTGGTGATGCTCCACAGCTGGTCCTCTCTCCCCTCGAGCAGTTCCACCATCGCGACCCTGGTTCTATGGCATGATCTCGGATGGCATCCACACCAACCCCGCCGCCCTACGAATCGCCCACCGAGCCCACCCCAAAGGTGAGCCACGTCGGGCCCACGCAGTGTCACCAGCCATCCCGAGCGCTGTGCCATCTCCCACAAAACACTCGCGCAAGTGCTGTGGCATGCTGCCCTCACTGCCTGAAAGAGGTCACAGCCATGTGTGCTGATCCACCAGCCCTCTTGCTTCGGTCGGATGTGGCTAGAGATGCTTTGGCCCCTCTCTGGGAGGACCAGCATGGCACAGTGCTCGGAGCTGCAGCAAGGTCAGCTGCAAAGCTAACGCAGCCTCTTTCCTCAGGCCTGGTGCTGGTGACGGATGCGATTGCTGGCATGGGGCTGGCACCAGGTCGGCACACACTGGGTCAGCAGGTGGTGGAGATCGATGGGCTGAACACCTACATTGCAGGTAAGTGCCGTCCTGCAAAAGAGCTGGGGCAGCGCTGCCACTCGTGTCTGTTCTGGAGAGCTCAGCACGCCTTGCAGTGCTTGTTGGTTGTGCCACCCTCTTGGGTTTTGGTGCCTGATCGGTGCATGATCTCGGATGGCATCCACACCAACCCCGCCGCCCTACGAATCGCCCACCGAGCCCACCCCAAAGGTGAGCCACGTCGGGCCCGCACAGTGTCACCAGCCATCCCGAGCGCTGTGCCATCTCCCACAAAACACTCGCGCAAGTGCTGTGGCATGCTGCCCTCACTGCCTGAAAGAGGTCACAGCCATGTGTGCTGATTCAGGCCTGGTGCTGGTGACGGATGCGATTGCTGGCATGGGGCTGGCACCAGGTCGGCACACACTGGGTCAGCAGGTGGTGGAGATCGATGGGCTGAACACCTACATTGCAGGTAAGTGCCGTCCTGCAAAAGAGCTGGGGCAGCGCTGCCACTCGTGTCTGTTCTGGAGAGCTCAGCACGCCTTGCAGTGCTTGTTGGTTGTGCCACCCTCTTGGGTTTTGGTGCCTGATCGGTTAATGGCTCTGCAGTGACTTGGCCCTGGGGATAATGAGGCACCTTGTGAAGAGGGGGGTTGCCCCATCTTGGTGGAGTGAGGAGGAATCTGTCAATTTTTAGCTGTCCGCAACACCTTTGAACACCTTGTTGCCCAATGTCATGGATGCTAGATCCCCAGTGGGGTCAGAAAGGACAGAGAAATCCCACAGGTACTTATTGTCCCTTATCTTTACTATACCACCACCACTTCTTGCTAACAAATATCCCTAAACTGCAAGCAGTTGGAGACTGGGAAGATATTTCGGAGGAGGATCATTCCTTTCTCAGTTCCCTTCCTCTGTCTCTGGCAGCAGGTGCCTGCGTTGTGAGCTAGTTTCACCCAGTCCAGCTGGTTTTATGGTGGAGCTGCAGGGTGACATCCCGGTACCTCTCCCTGCGCTGCCAACACAGGCTCGCTCTCGCCTCACTCTGTCACTCGGCAGCCATGGCTGTGGGCCTTTCAACTCACTCCTCCTGCGACCCAGGATTTCTACCCCTTTTGGTCACATTATGCTTTCCCACCGCCCACTTCTCCTTGCTATGAGTTGTGGGATTCTGTTCTCAGTGCCATTCTGTTCCTCTCCCAGGCACAAAGACCCTGAGCGGTAGTGTGGCAACCATGGACACATGTGTGCGACACTTCCAAGAAGCCACAGGTAAGCGAGCCTTGTCCACAAGGTGTTGCCCCCTACGTTGACTTGGGAAGAGGTCTTGCTCTTGCCAGCTGTGTCCGTTCCACCAGGGAATGTTCCCTCTTGCCCAAGAGAATGAGAAGGGCTGGGATCAGCGGCACTGGCCACAGATAAGCAACTTTTTGAGGGGAGGTTTCATTTTAACCCATAGCACTAATGAGAGGTGAACTCTCCTGCTCCTTTCTCACAAAGGTGAATGACTTTCCCCTCCCCATACCCTAGGTGTTCAGTTCTCCTCTTCCCGTTATCTCCCGCAGGGATGTTTCCCCTCCCCAGCTCCATATGGCTGTGGCGAGGATGTTCTAGCTCGGGTCCCTGCCAGGCTGACAGTTGCCTTAGCCAAGGGGGTTTGGGCTGCTCTGGCAATGGGGCTGTTTGCTGCCCTAATGCCTCCCCCTTCTCTGTCCAAGGGTGCTCAGTAGAGACTGCGTTGGAGGCAGCGTCTCTGCATCCCGCCCAGCTCCTGGGGATTGAACACAAGAAGGGGACACTAAATTATGACTCCGATGCAGGTACTGGTATGGGGACAGCAGGTACTGGTATGGGGACAACAGTGTGAGGGCTCCCGGGTGCTGGAGTAAAGCAGGGGCTGCTGCGAACGCATCTTCATCCCCTGCTTCAGTGGGAGCTGCAGGGAGACTCGCTCTGCCTGGGATTTTCTCTGGGCTTTTGCTTCAGGGTTTTGCTCCAGTGTTTTTCCCCTTGGATGCTGGTGGTGTTTCGTGAGCCCTTTGGAGAGACCAAAGGGCTCCATGCTCCAGCCAAGCATGGAGCAGAGCCACCATAGCAAGGATGGCACCACACTGCTGTCTTGCTGCCGTGTCTGGGTGGGGAGAAGCTCTTTCCCACAGAGCCCAGCTCCTCCCAGCCAGCTTCAGCTGCTCCATTTATCTGACGCCTGCTTCCTTTCTCTCTTGTCCGATGCAGACTTCCTGATGCTGAATGATGGTCTGTATGTGCAAGCCACGTACATCGCGGGTGAGGAAGTCTGGAGACAGGATGCGTTAGGCATGTGACGCTGGGCTGTCCTGGTGCCCTCCGAGGCTCCCCGGCACTGTGGTTAGCAGCTTTGGTAACCACGCCACTTCTCTTCTTTTTTTTTTTTTTTTTTTTTAATTCCTTCCTGCAACTCCCTTAAAGGAGCCTCATACCAAAGAGCTGCGTTTTCCAGCGCAACCGCTGCTTCCAGTTACAGCCATGCCTGCAACAAATTTGTTGGTGCTCAGTTGGTGGAGTGGGGAAAGCAGGCAGATCTGTGTTTGGGGAGATTGTCAATCCCCAGAGTGACCTGAAGGACTGCACAGCTGTCCTGCGTGGAGTCCCCAGACAGAAGTGCTCCTGTCGCCGTCTTACAGCAGTGTGAAAGCTGTCCCAGCCTTTGCACTGTTTTATACAGCACACACTAACCTGCCCCATGCCCCAGGCAGGCTCAAGCCATTTCCATTCCTCTGCCTGCTGTTTGCCTCGCTCCCAGGCAGCCGTGGCTGGTTAGACATCAGCTTCCACCAGCTCAGCTCGCAGCTCTTCACGTTAAAAGGTTCCTGTTGTGTCAGCAGAAGTTGAGGATCACGTTCTGATCCCCCGGCAGTCCCTCTGTCGTGTGTCCTCTGGAGCAAGGCTGTCACAGCTTGCCGACTCGGTGCCATTGTGAGGCTGTGAATCCATGTGGGCTGAATCCTCAGGGCAGAGATCAAACCCAGGAAAAATGAGGCATTGCTGGTCCTTTGTGCCTTTTCCCTGCATGGGCATTGAGTCCACAGCACGTGGTTTCGGCTGGAGACATGGACAGCATCCTGCCACAGAAAGCAATGTTCCTCTTAACTCTTTGTTCTGGCTAGATGGGTTCTGCAGGCTCTGTGCCCAGCCGTACCTCGCAGAGCCTTTGCGTTGTCTGATGGGTTTGTGCGTCCCTCAGGCCACAGACGGGAAGCTTTTGCTTTAGGGGATGCCTCCAGACTGGTAGTGACGGGCTCACAAGCCCTCAGTCCAACTCAGGGACTGAGGGAGAAGAGAACTGCAGTGGCATTCCGGCCTTTCAAGACAGTTGCTGATAGCTCGTTATTCCCGTGCTCATTATTATCTTCTCCAATACTTGACCGTCAGCTCTTTTCCTGACACTGGGACACTTCTATGCGAAGACTGATGCTGATTTTGAACCTACTGCAGTCAGAAAAGTCTTGCGATAAGTCTTAGACAACCTCTGACAAGACTCAAACCAGTTAGATGTTTTCTGTAGTGAGGGGAGGGCTTAGACAAAGGCCAAGTCTTAGCAGGGGTGGAGGTTGTAAGGCAAGACAAAAGTCTGGTTGGGATTGACAGACGTGTGCCGATTTTTCCAGTACCTTTTTATAACCTTTAACAGCAACATTTTGAAGTGCTTTCCTAGCACTTCAGAGCCCTGCTGGAATAACTGGCAGCCTTGGAGAATTTCTAACATCAACAGCCAATGTCAGGAGAAACTATAACCTCCACCATTTGAAGCATTTGAAAGAGACATCAAATACTGTGCTGAGAAATGTGACGTGCTACAGCATTACAAATCTCAGCAGGGGCACTTTTGACTGCTGTTGAAAAAAACCCAAGGGAAAAAAATGCGTATGAAACAAGGTGTCTAACTTTTTTTATTTACAAAATTAAATAATCAAGAGGAAATCTAAAATAGAAATGGAATTAGACCATACCTGTGTATGTGTATTACCCTTTTTTTGTCTGTTGAAAACACGCTGTACCCTACCCATGGTGTTGTACGGTGGCGCGGTGTGTGTCAGGCGGGGATCCGAGCCGCCGGTGGCACCGTGGCCCTCGGGCCTCCGCGCCTTGATGGGGGACAACGCTGCTGTGGGCGCTCCCGAAGGCGCCGTGGGATTTGGTCCTGCGGGGGGAGGCCGCAGCCGGGCAGCCAGCGTGCTGGCGGTGGAACCGCGGCCCAGCAGCTCCCTGTGGGGCTCCGGGGAGA